AGTAGCTGGGACTACAGGCATGCACCACCATGCCCGGCTAATATTTTCTATATATATTAGTTGGCCAATTAATTTACTTCTATTTATAGTAGAGATGGGGTCTCACTCTTGCTCAGGCTGGTTTCAAACTCCTGACCTCTAGCAATCCGCCCACCTCGGCCTCCCAGAGTGCTAGGATTACAGGCGTGAGCCACCGCGCCTGGCCTAAAAAGTGCTTTTACTTCAAAAAAGGTTTACATTTGCAACGTCTAACATGAAACAAAAATTACAATTTAGATGGTTTCTTTCTGATTAGACAGCACTCCTCCCAAGAACCCTGGATTAGTAGTAGTATTAATAGTACTTATAAGGAGAGGATGTAAAGTCAAGAGAAAGTAAAAATGCTTCCATAACTGAACTAAAGATTAGAATGAGCACTGCTGGCCTGTGAGACGTGCTGCCGCTGAACTGAGGGAAAGCACACTGTAATATCATCCCTTCTCAGTCTGCTTAAAACACAAGTCACATTAATCTTCTCAAGAAAGAGTGCCTGCTAACAAAATAGTCCACAAAGGCCTATCAGCTACGGGGTCTGTCAGAATTTTGCTCTGTGCTGGGACCTGTTAGTCAGAAGGGAGGAGAACCCCGTCATTTTCCTTCAGTAGTTTAATCACACTGATATCGTGCGTGGAGGGGAAGGCCAGGCCGCAGGCTTCATGTTTTGTATTATGTTCCTCGTCTACCATAGAGGGGAAAGGAAGGGGAGAAAAAGGAGGAGGTTCCCTGGGTGGACTTGGAGAGAGAAAAAAGTTGTGGGAGGACCCTCGTCTTCAGCTGGATTCTAGGAAGAGGCTGGGGTGACAAAGGCTATAAGCCCCTAAGATTCTAACACTAGCGTGAAGAAGGCTGGTAAATGGCTAGAGAGAAGAGGACAGGACTTTGGCCTTTTTCACAGTGTCTAGAAAGAAGTTAAGTGGAGGTAAAAACCCAAGGTAAATTTAAGGTAGTTAGAAATTTATTATACTTTGTGTTTCGATTTTATAAAATGGTCATTCATGTGTGTGTAATGAGGTAAATGTGTCTGAATTGTGTTCACTGTTTCCTTTGAGTCATCTACAGGCATAGTCAGGTGTAAGAGGAATGTATTTAGGAGGACATGCCTTGCGGATTTAACTTTTATTATTCTCTAAAAGATGGTTTGTTAGATCATCCATGTGTCACCGGCACCTATTCCCTGGGTGTGTGGCTGGCCACCAGGCAGGGGGCAGGGACTGCCCTGGGCTCAGGAGACTTGGGTCTGGCTTCCGGTTCTGGGTCTGTTGCAGACTTACTGTGTGAACTTGGGCTGGCCACAGTTTTCTCAGGTGAGAATGAAAAACAAGGGTTTGGACTGTACACTTTTTCACGGCTGTTTCCTGCTCCAATGCTCTCTGATTCTATAGGACAACATTATGTTCTAAAGTAATGTTTTCCTCCTTGTGGGCTTCATATATTTACTTTTTTAGAGCCACTGCAATAACAACAATGCCCCATCTAGTGTTTAAACAGGGAATATGGCCCGGGAGTGCAGAGTGAGGAATGGCATTTCTGCTTTCCTGGCTGGGGCTCAGAACGGCAACCGATGGGCATAAATGCTGCCTGGGAGGTGCCCACTGACCCAATGTGGTGCAGCAGGGCAGTTTTTTAAAAGACAGTGATTTACAACTTTTGTGTGTGACGTACAACACCAGCACAACAGGACTTTCATCAAGGGGACATGGAATATTCTTTCCTATTATTTTTACTGGCAGTTGTTACCAGCCTCCCTGGAATGGGGGTCAGTGGGCAGTACCTTCCTGATGGAAGATCAGAAGAGATTCTGGGTGTGATACAATTCAGCCAAGTTCTGGCATATCCCTGAAATTTTCAGCAGGGTTTTAATCACTTTACCCTTCCCTTTTCATTTCTTTCTCTCCAAATGCTTCCACAAGGAAAACATCTCCAATCTGGTTAACAGCTAACCACGCTCTCTTAGAACTTTTCTAGGTTCCATACTAGTCTGTCCATCTTCTTAGTGCTGTACCCCAAGAAAAGAAATCAAAGGAGGAAACAAATGTAAATACTGGGAAATGCAATATCATTGAAACAAATGATCAGCTTCCTTCTTGTACGTTTGTCCTATGTTTTTTTTTTCTTTTCATTAAGTGCCAGGGCAATTTAAATTTTATACTGTCATAGAAAAATCACCTCATTTTGGAATCTGCCCCCATCTCAGAACCAAGGTCAGGTCAGTGGGATATTTGCAGAGTGACTACGGCATGCCAGACACTGTCTTAGTGATGTCTGGGCTGAGAAAACCAAAGGAGCTCAGACTCAGAAATCCCTCATCATGCTGTCCATCCTGCTCAGACCCTTGTGGCCCAGGCTACCAGAAGCACATTTTACTTCTTGTGATCCAAATTCTCAGTAGCAAGGGATTTTTTCAGTCTTTTTAATCTTTGAACTTGACTCTCTTCATGGTTGAACCCATCCCAGCAGAATCTGGGATGCGTCTAGAATGCTTAAGTGCCAACTGGGCTGACAGCACTAACTGAACTCCCGCTAACCTGCTCTGATCTCTTCTAGGTGGCTGCCTCTCTGTGCCCTCCATGGCTAGTCTGGCTTCTGTCCTTGCCTGTTAGTCGGTCACTTGGACTTCTACCATTTACTAGCCCCATCCAACTTCTGCACAACCTTCAGCCTTGGAATGCCAGTTTAACCTGCCTCTACAGTGATCCACATTCCCAAATCAGCTTGGTTCTGCCACGTCCCAAATCACCCTAACTCCCTCATCCCATGGCCCCATATTCCTGCTCCACAATCTTCATGCCCATACTGAGGGCACTGTGCCCTTTGACTAAAATTTAGAATGATGATCTCTGCTCGGTCCTACTGGTCAAACCCCATTCTCAATCCAGGTCTGGCAACTGTGATAAACTTGATTACAACTCTTAACTGGTAATTAGCAACTCAGGCAGCTCCAACAGAACACTGGCAAATGAGATTTGACTTAGAGGCCATGAGAGCATAGTGGTCTCCAATAAATACCAAAGAAAGGAAACATCTAGACTATTTATTGACTACCAATAGTCAATAAATATTTATTTATTGAAACATCTAGACTATTTATTGACTATTATAGAATAGTGCCTGGTATACAATGGGAGCTCAGAAATAGTTGGCAAATTATGGAAAGATATCTTTTAAATAACAAATTGCAAATGTTCAGAGATATGATTAGATATTATAAGCTCCTTCGGCATAGAGAAACTGGCTCATGTGTTGTATATCCTCAGGGCCCAGCACAGTGCCTGGCATACAGTAGGCTTTATAAATACTTATTGAACTTTAAAAATGACTGCTGAGAAAAGTATGTCAAAGTCACTGTGTAGAGGATATCTACTTTCCTAGAAGTATAGATGAAGCAGGACATCTTAGTATGCCCAAACCAAACTATCAGATTGGTTGGACCCTGAAATCTGCATGCCATAGTGTTCTTAAAGTATGGGAGTCTATCCTGTGAGCATGGACCACAAAGGAGATGAGTAGGCACCCTGCAGTATGGACTGTGCCCTGACCTACATTACCATCCACTTCAAACCCCTTCATTCCACCTCTGCTCGGATCCTCTGAACCTTTGGGTTTCATCCAGAATGCAGGAGACCCTTCTGGACAGCTACTCATTCATATGTAAAAGCAGGATCTGGTCTGACCAAGCTTCTCTGATGTCTGAAACATACATGAGCATGAAACAGCCAGCTCTAGGTCCTCTGATGGAACCTGTCAATGCTACCATATGGCTGATGGCCATGGGCAAAGAATGTAATGCTTTCAGTAAATTGTGCAAGGCTGGTCATTTAGAACTTATATTTTTTATTTATTGTTGAAGCTATCATAAATGTAGAGAACACTAAGGTCCATCAAAGGCGTATGGTTTTCAGAGTATATTAAAATATGTTCATCTTCCTTTCCTATAAAATATAAAGCATCCATCTTTAAAATGTTCACAGCAATCAATGGTTTTAATTGAGCAGAAAAAGCACACACAGATAAAGAAATGTTTAGCCCTAGCTGCTGTTCCTTACAGTCATCTTCAGAGATAAATTTCCACAATGAATGTTTCAATTAAGACAGTAATATTTATTGAAAGGTAAACTACAAATGTATAGCCACTGGAAACATTATTGAACAAAGTAATTTATGCTGCAGTTGGTACACTACATTTTAGCACTGCTTTGACTTTATCAGCATTTGTCAATTAATCAACGTGAACCTTGTAAAACATGGTCTCTTATTAGTGGGAACAGGCAATTGCTTGCAGACTTTGAAAGAAAGGTCATTTAATAATTTGCTAATTGTGCAAAGATAGATTTAAATTTAAAAAAATAAAGGTAAACTCTCATTACTACTATACTTAAATAGGATTCTGTTTAAGCTTAACCTTACCAATTTAAATACAGTCAATGATTTAACTTTTTTGGTTGTTTGTTTTATTTACTAAACAGCAGAGAAAGATTAAGACAAAAAAGTTAATCTAGCTTTAGGTTTTAAAATTTTTTTTTAAGTGCATTTTTTTGTTGTCACCTTTACCATTTCAAAGAGTTATTAGCCTCAAGGCTATAGTTATAAACAAATCAACTATATTTCATTGGCAGAGGAGTGAAGAGAAAAAAGAAAAAGCAAAAGAAACAGGAAATGGAGCAGGATGAAAGAGCAACTCAGTGGCAGTATTCCTTTTTTATTTATTTATTTCCTTCAACTCATTCTTTATTCCTCTAGATGAGCTGTCAACTCTCTACTTTTGACCACTCTAGGTTCATTTTCAGTTCAGTAAGTGAGAAAGAAGCTGAGTCAAGCCCTCTCTTTGGGTAATCTATGCATCAGCACACTTGCCAACTCTCCTGGCACCCGAGGAAGCACTTTAGCTCATAGCAGCATCACCACCAACAAGCATTCTGCGGTCATCTAGAAGGACGCGACTCAGTTTAAAATGGGTAACGTACCTTGGAGAGCAATTTCTACACTGGGGTCTGCAGGGCTGAATCGAGAAATCCGCACCATCTTAGAAGTGTAAGTGAAACTTAAGATGAACTGGCATGCCTTGAGGCATCTGTAAGAGTCAGAATTTTGCGCAGCGTTTACAGAGACAACGTTTGTTAAATGAAGATGGCTCTTGCCCGATCCGGTCTAGGCAAACTGCTTTGCTGCAGAGCTCCTTTTATAAGAGTTAGGAGGCCCAGGTCGCATTCTGCCTGCTCAAACAGGTTTATCAATCCATTCCATTCCATTCTGTTCTCAGTTCTAAATAAGTCATTATTTCAGGCACATTTCCCTAAGCAGATGCAAACACTCTTTTCCAGCACGAGATTCCCTTGGGCAAATTAAGTTTCTTGGAAAAGGGTCAAGGAGCCAATCAAACAAAATACATTCTAGAAACAAGCCTGTGGTTTCAGGGGACACTTTCATTCATGCAGGGGACAAAAATGTTAGACACTGATGGGTCAGTAATGTTGAATCTGACAGGGCCAGATCCAGGGAGCAACATCCTCATATCTGCAGCCAAAGTTCTTGTTATGGTCCTAACAAATAGATTTATTTATGTATGTATGTATGTATGTATGTATGTATGTATGTATGTATGTTTTGAGACAGAGCCTCACTCTGTTGCCCAGGCTAGAGTGCTATGGTGTCAGCCTAGCTCAGGGCAACCTTAAACTCCTGGGCTCAAGCAATCCTTCTGCCTCAGCCTCCCTGGGTTTATTTTTTACGGAAACAAAACTGATGGTCACAAAACAATTAATGGAAAGTTTCCTTTTCTAATATTTCTAATTAAAAGCTGCTAATCAAATTTTAATTTCTTAATAAAATTGTGGTAAAGGAACTTTTATAAGGGAAAAGTTACTCTAAAATTGATATCTTCTGTTCTCGTAATCTTACCTAATAAATATGGAATATTTCTGAAGTAGATACTTGAGAATATTGTACAATATATATTTGATCTTCATACCTTTTTCTTGGCATACAACTCCTAAAATCCTTGGAATCGTCAAAGTGATGTCTTTTGTATGTTAATGATTGATTGATGGCTGGCAGTCCCTAGGTAGTTTCAGGATGGGGGCTGATTACCCAAAAGACCCAAGCAGGATTACAAGGTTGGGGCCTGAAGTCCCACCTCCCCAACCAGGGACTGAAGTTGGTTAAGTTGCTCACCACTGGCCAACAGTTTGATCAAACATGCTTGCGTAATGAAGCCCCATAATAACCCAAAAGCACAGGGTTCAGAGAGCTTCCAGATAGCTGGACACAAGGAGGCTTCCAGAGGCTGGCATGTCACTCCCCTACACCTTGCCTTACACATCTCTTCATGTGTATCCTTTGTAATATCCTTTAAAATAAACTGGCAAAGTGTTTCCCTAAGTTCTGTGAGCCACTCCAACAAGTTAACTCAACCCAAAGAGGGGGTTGTAGAAATTCCAACTTGAAGCCAGTGGGTCAGAAATTCCAGAGGCCTAGACTCTGTGACTGGTATCTGAGGGAGGTAGTCCTGAGGCCTGAGCTTCAACCTGTTGTTTCTAAAACTCTCTCCAGCTATAGAGTCAGAATGGAATTGGAGGATACCCAGCTGGTGTCTGCTGCTCATTGGTGGGGAACCACCCATGCCCCCCAATATATGGTCACAGAAATCTTCAGCGTTGATTGCAGTGTGAGAGAAAAGGAAAAATTATGTTGAGCCTTGGTTTTTTTCCCACACTCAGAACATTCCTTATTGTATTTTTTTTTTCATTTTGAGTCATGAAAGGGAGAGAAGTCCCTTTCATGTTCTTTTAATATTTGCTTTTATTAACCTCAGCTTCAGTTAACTCACTTCCATATATCAAGATTCTTTCCAAAACAGAAGAGACAAGAGGTAAATGCAAATGTGGGAAGGAAAGCCTCTTGGTAGCATAATAGCTGCTCCCTGGCAGGAGTTATTTCTATCTAAAACATACATACCGTATTAAGGAGCCACAGGGAAAAAGGAATGGATGTGAATGGCAGGTTTTCATTTGTTTCCTTGACATCTTAGAATACTGTAAATAAGTTTGTGGCGTTTCAATTCAAACAGTTCCATTATCTTGGAGGTCTTAATCATTCGTAATAGCGGTTTCTGAAGTGTTCAAAGCTTGTGCTTAAGGAGCATTATCGGCATTCCATATAGTCATACCATATTCAGCAGATTTACAACCTTATACATGGTTATCCCCGATTGTCTTTATTTAAGAGTAAGTTAGGGCTGATGAGGTGGCTCAGCATCCTCTTACGCTTCCACCAGTGAACACCTGGCTCTGCGGGGCACCCTTTTCTAAATGAATCCCAAATGTGCAAGATGACGTGGGGGAGGGGGGCAGCCAGGAGAGTTTCACTAAGTGAGCAGCCTATTTTAAAGTGTACCTGGGATTTTGGTTTTATTCAGTTATGGTGAGGCCACCAGATAGGAGATGACTGCCATTGAAAAGGTAGTTTGTTACAGTCCCCAAGAGGGTGGAGATAGTCCAAACCATATGTGGCTACCTGGGTAGGTCAGCAGGCAGAGGGAAGAAGGGCAAAATGTGGGCAAGAGCCTTTATTATGGTTTCTGTAGGTGTACCACCCTCTAGGACATTTGACATCCATAGGAATCACCTGGTTATTTTGTTAAACTATAGACTCTGAGTCATTGAATCAGGCAGAGGTGGAGACTTTGCTTTCCTAATAAACTTCCTGATAAGGTTAGGACCACACTTTGAGTAGTTAGTGATCACCAACAGTCTTCTCTCTGGGTCACCTTCTCAGGTAAAGGGGAAGGACCTAGCATATATTGAGCCCTACCCTGAACCAGATACTGCTGGGCACTGAATATACATACTTTGTTTTCTTTTGCTTGAACTACAGCCTTTGTTCATAGGAAAAGTTATACCGAATTTATAGGGAAGGAAACTGAGGCTCAGGGAGGTTAGGTAATCTACTCCAGGTCACTTTGCCATCACAAAAGTTACAATGTATACCTGTATATGGCTTAAAAACCCATTTTTCCCCACCACAACATAAGTATAGATGCACTGCTCTAATGGAAAATAAAAAGCGCCTGTTGGTAAAGGCTTCATAAAATATAAAGTCCATGGACTACTTAGTGGCCCATTTACAACTTGACTTTTGGAAAGAAGAGGAATTCAGAATGGCATTTATTATCTCAGGATCAGAAATAAACAGTGCTGATCAAATAGCTGATATTTTATCATAGCCTTCACAAAACAGTTCACATGGGATTCCCTATAAAACGAGTGTTTTTATTTTAAAAAGAGATACTTATACATGGTGAGATATAGACAATAAAAAGGTAGTCTTGCCCCTAGATCCCTAGTATTACCGCTCAAAGATAATTACTGTGAGGTTTGTGCAGCCTACTAGAACTATTTCTACTCAAATAATAAACTTATTTCATACAAATTCATTCATTTGGTTATTCTAAGGTACTTGGGGAAAAGGAGGAAATAAAACAGACAAAATCCCTCACGTAGATTATATTCCAGTAGGAGACAGATCAGAAACAAAAAACTAAATTATGTATTATGTCAGGTAGGAATAATGCTAAGAGAGAAAAAACTGGGGATGGGGGAAGGGAAAAGCTGGGGTGGTTTGTAATTGTGAATACAGTGGCAGAGGAAGGCCTCATCGGAGAGGCGATAGTCGAGTAAAGACCTGAAGGGATGGACACGCTTGAAGCTCTGACTCGAGGGGGGAGGGAAGGCAAGAGCAATATACGTAACCTTAACATTTGTCCCCATATTATGCTGAAAAAAAAAAAACAAAGACCTGAAGGAGATCACCCTATCCCACACTTACTTTCTCCTTTAACAATATCAGGACTTACAGATCTACCTTTTTCTTTTCAAAGGCTCCACGCTACTCCACTGTTCACAGGTACCAGGTATCTCTGGGCATTTTGTTATTTCCATACATGGATGTTTTAGATTAATCCTGTTATAATTTGTTCAATGATCATGTGTTTGGTTATAAACAGATTTGGGGCTTATAGTACAAAGCCTGAGTAAACAGAAAGAGACCTAAATTTGGTGTGGGAAGCTACGGATCCAAGTCATAGCTGTGCTACTCCCTACTTAGGTGACCTTGTTATATCATTGGGAATTTGTGGACTTCCTTTTATATTTTTGTGTTCTGGCCTCATGAGAGAGTTTCCCTTTTCCTGCCACATCCTAGGCTGTGCTATTGTCCACCAGGTCCAGGGTGATGTCTAGGGGCTTTTTCACCTGAAGGCCCAGGCAACATCCTGCCTACAACATTTTCCTCAGTGCCAGGCTACCTATAACCCCTGCAGAATCAAATAAAAACTTTAACTTTCAGGCTCACAAGTTTCCCACATTCCTCCAAAAAGGCAGCATAAACAAAAATTTAGGGGAGCAATTTACCCTCTGGTCTCCATGCATGAATCTCCCCACTTAGGAGGAAAGCACATTAAACTTCTTAAAACAAAAACAAAAACGAATCCTTACTTTCTAGTAATATTTATTTTTGTAGATGCAGATGTTTACCCCTGGGCCATATGAGAGAACAGATTCCACATTTAATGGAAGATTAATTTATTCATTTAATTAATACTGGAGGCAGTACCTGGAATATGTCAGCACTCTGCCAGGCACTATAGGAGGAGGAACAAACATCAGTGTGATATGATTCCTGCAATATGATTGTCACCTCCCTGGCTCTTAACAAAGACAGGACAAGTAAAAAACAATTGCAATTCAAGCGTGCATGGTAAGTGGTATTAAAAGGCAATTCAATAGGAATTCAAAGAAAGGGGAGAATACTATTATCCAGAGCCCCTCAAAAACCCCTCAAAGAGGAATCCGAACTGAGATCTAAACAGGTGGGGAAGTGTTCAAGGGATGGAGGTGGTAAGATAAGTCTGTGTGTGTGTGGGGGGGGAGGGGATATGTGTGAATGGAAGGTGAGCAATAATTGCACTACAAGCAAAGGCCCAGAGGAAGGAAAATACAGTTGCAAAGGGAACATGAAGTAGCCCCATTAGCTTAAACACAGAACATGGGGAGTGGATGTGGATGACAGGAAACGCTGGTTGGAGTAAGACTGGCAGAGGGTCCTGAGTCCCCTACTTTGTTATTAGACATGGGATAAATGCGTGGCATTTGAAAGATATTAAGAAAATCATTATTGGCTTCTTTCTCTTTTTTGTTTTTGCTTTTTATTGTAGGAGAGGGAGGGGTGGTACACTTTGGTTTTACAGCTTCTGTTTCTGATTCCAGTAATATTCTAAACCAACTTAATATTTATCAAAGTAATATATACCCATAGTTTTAAAAGGCAAATAGTAGGCCAGGTGTGGTGGCTCATGCCTATAATCCTAGCACTCTGGGAGGCCAAGGCAGGTTGATTGCTCAAGGTCAGGAGTTCGAGACCAGCCTGAGCAAGAGCGAGACCCTGTCTTTACTAAAAAAAATAGAAAGAAATTAATTGAGCAACTAAAAATATATAGAAAAAATTAGCCGGGCATGGTGGTGCATGCCTGTAGTCCCAGCTATTTGGGAGGCTGAGGCTGTAGGATCGCTTGAGCCCAGGAGTTTGAGGTTGCTGTGAGCTAGGCTGATGTCATGGTACTCTAGCAAGGGCAACAGAGTGAGACTCTGTCTCAAAAAAAAAAAAAGGCAAATAGTATTCTAAGGCCTGTAACCAAAAACAGTAATCCCTTCCCCCTTTTCTCTCCACCCCCTCTTCTTGATCCTCAGAGCAAACTCCTGTTTCTTTTTTTGCTTTTATTATGAAAGATATTTATTTCTTATTTGCCAGAGTATGTAACTTTCCATAGAGGTAAGACTTTTGCCCCAACCAACTGTTCTCAGTCTGGTTCACCTCTGGTCCTGGCAGCATAGGAAGACTCACTGTCTGACAACTGTCACCCACCCCCATGCCCAAGGAGGCTGAATCCCACATGGGAGAGGAAACCACTTTTACCTTTTAACTCTGATATTTGCTTCCTATATTTAAGTACTGTGTATATATTGATACTTATTAAATTATCATTTTCAGAGATTACCTAATATCTTACTGCTATGCAAAATAAGAAAAATTTAGTGCTCTAATACCATCACTACCTTCCAACAAGCTTTCTTCCTTCCTCCATCTTTCCAGTGGCTTAAATGGCAACTTGGAGTTAAATCAACATTCTAGTTTACATTATTATGACCATGTAGTACGGTTTACTATTGAGCCAAGTAGTATAAGATTACACTTTCGATCTTGTTCAACATCTTGTTTTTCCTGGTGGTGCCTTTTATTTTATTTTGCTTATTTCTTTTGAGTGGCTATTACTAGCTGTTCATGAACTATCCAAAGGAACTACAAAACCCCCGCCAAAACCATGTTTCACACAAGTAGCCCACCTGGTTAATCTACTGAGTCTATTTTCCCTTGAGTAACCTCCCCTCCAGCTCATCTGGAGGGGAGGTTTTCCAGGCCAGGTGCCCACCTGTTGTCCTGGGACTTCTTTTTAACACCATCTTGCGAAATCCCTGTTCCTCTCTCTTGTGTTGAATCCCCTGTTTTCTGGATCCCATGGTTTCCTCTTTCTTGGTTTACATCCTCATTTTTGTAGAGCACATTCTCTAGTGGCTTCCTGAGAAAAGGTACATGGGAGGTAAAATTTGTTGAGACTGTGTATATCTGAAAATGTTTTAATTCCACTCTCTCCTGTGTTTGCTATTTAAGCTTGTAATTGAATTCTACGCAAAATGTAATTTTCCCTCAGAATTTTGAGGCTGTACTTCATTGTCTTCTAGCTGTACACAGTGAGAAGTCTCATGCCACTGGTACTCCTTTGACCTGGCATGATCTTTTACATGTGACCTGTTTTATTTCTCTGGAAGGTTTTGGAGTCTTCTTTTTAATCCTGCTGTTCTGAAGTCTTCACAGTAAAGAATCCTAATAAGGATCTTTTTTTTTTTTTTTTACCAGGGTTCTGGGCACTTTCTGTTCCTTTTCAATCTGGAAGGTTCCATCGTTTCTTACCTCCACCCCATACCTCCACCTCCACCCTTCCATATGTCCAGGAAGGTTTCACCTGTTCACTCTGTGGAGTTTCATCCTCTTTCCAGGGCCTAGTCCCTGAGTCCAAAGTGCCCAAGACTGTCCCTCAAGCCTCAAGTAGGGAGGAGGAATTGGTAGTGGCAGTGTGAGTTAGAGGGTAGAGCAGGGCCTTGCCACTCCATGTACTATGCTGCCCCATAGCTTCTTGCAATCCTCCCGCTTTTTCCAGCCTCACCCCTCCTAAGCCTCCGCAGTGTCCTGTAGGGTGAATCTGCTGGCTTCTCTGTGTACACCTTAGCCCCTGTGCCATCTCCCTCAGCTGGCTGACACCTCTTGTTCAGTAGCATCTCCCCGGTTTATTCTCTCACTCATTCTCTGTTTCTCTGCTTTATAGTGTTTTTTATTCTTTACCATAATTTTAGTAAGATTTCTGGAATAGGAAGATATAAAAGCTATTGTTCAATCTAACAAAATCAGAAGTTCCCAATCTTACAAATTTTACTCTGTAGTTATATGTACTTATTATGTATTTCATTCTAGTCTAGTTTGTTTATCCAGAGAACTTTATGTGTTACCCTAGTTAGCTACTAACTACCTCAAAACTACTTTTTAGGGAAGGTATTGGACAAAATCATTTCACTTCTCTTTTATTTTTTAGGGAGCACCAGACAAAGTGAAGTTGACCTCCTTCTATAAATGTTATCTTTATTAAGATAACAGCATTTCACTGTTATCTTGGCTTCAGAAGTTCAGACCGAAAATCAATTTGAGGTGGATGCCACATCAATTTCTCAATAAGAAGGAAGGGAGGGAGGGAGGAAGAAAGAGAAGAAGGGAAGGGCACAGGAGGAGGGAAGAAAGGAAGGAGAAAGGGAGCAATGGGGAGAAATGTAAAAAGAAACACACGTAAAATATTTAAAAATAGAACAGCAAGAAGACTGGCCCAAATAAATAACTATGCTAAGAAAATCTACACAAGTTCATTAAATAAGAGAAATCATAGAAAATCATCTGGCTTTACGATAACTCCAAACAACAATCACTGACTTGGAAGGCAACCGAGCAATTTGAATGTTCACTGTCAAACTGTCACTCATCAACATGTACCCAAAATGCCTATGAAAAGCACCATATCCAGAAAAAAAAAATAACTGCTACACAAAACATTCTCACAAGTACATGCCCAGACTACCTTTAAATTATATACTGACTCTTACTGCTCTGAAACGTATCTACCTTTGTCTTAAGAATGCCTGCATGTATGTAGGTACTAATGTATATATGTGTGTATTCCTCACCTTATCCCCAGAAGAAATTTAAGTCAGCTTGCTGTTAATCATTTTCATTGAATATATTTTTGTTTTCTTGAGTATATTTCTTATGAAATATATTCAATATATTGAATATATGAATATATTCAATGAAATATATTCAATGAAATATACTCAATATATTGAATATATGAATATATGAGTATATTTCTTATGTGTCCATCTGAAGTTATGTATTTCTCTCTATCCTGTGTCATACTCAATTATAGGCCAATAACTTTTTTAAAAGTTAACTATGTTGTCAACAACTCTTCCAATGTAGCTGTTGTCATGTCTTGGAGCTTAATAAGATGGCAGACTTTACCAGTCCAACTGACCTTATTTTAAATTCCAAGTCTTCCATTTACTAAACGCATAACCTGAGGGATCTGATAAGCTCCCCAATGGGAAAGTGAACATAATATTATCTATTTTGCAGGATTTTATGAGGATTAAATCAAATGATGCATGTAAAGAACGTGGCATATTGGAAGTGCCCAATAAATAAAAGCTATTAAAATCAGAACATGAGACAATACTGAAATCTTAAACTATCTGAAAGTACATCTTTTCTAAGTGACTAGTTTTTACTTCTGTTTTTAGGCATCATATCCCTGGTAAGCTCGTCACCTGGAAGCAACCTGTCAGTTAGCCACTGAAGAGGGTGGCAAAGCACTTACAGACAGGCAAATAGTGAAAGCAAATAAAAGTGTATGTTGCGGGGAGGCCTGGACAAAAAATAAAGGAAAGCATTTGACTCTAGATCAATTTCCTGACCTCTTTGGAATCCAGTTTGTTTAACTACACAATTAGGAAATTGGACAAAGTCCCTCCAGATTTTCATGATAAAGAGTTCTCTGGTTAGATAATTCTAAAACATGCCTCTCTCGTCTCATGCCTTCTCCTCTCCCATTCTTGAAGCTTTACCATACGTATTAGTATATTCAAGGCACCTGTTCGATTTTGTTTTACTTGGCATTATGCAAAGTTATTTGCCTACAGATCCTGCCACTTTTTTTCCTTTCAGGTAGTATTTATTGACATACTTTGGAAAAGACTGGATGAGTTGATCTGCAACTTCCCATTCTATCATATGTTTCTCTGAGTCTTACAACTTTAGCTAAATGTTTAAGGAAAAAAAAGGAAAACATATGTTATAATTTTTATTTATTGATGCTTTTTCCTATAGCAGCACTTTTATAATTTAGGAGTGGGAGAAACATCTATCATGATTTCAATGAAACTGGATATTTCAATATTTTAGACGGATGAACACCAAGCCATTGGCTGAATTACTGTAGTGTTGATGTGATTAGGTTATGAAGACAAGTTACTGGGACACAGCTCTCAATTCTGGCAATCAATGAATAAAATGAACCATTTATGTAGTGATCAGACTGATTGCTCAGTTATCAATGGGACCAAAACAGAAAATAACTATGAGATAAGTTAACCCCTAGGTTGTAAGACTATATTCCATGATATCAGAATAAAACTGAAATGGAGATTCATGATGAATAATTCTTAACACTATTATACATCAAACTGTTAAAATTATTTTTGTTAGTCAAATACTTTCACTTTTCCTATGTATCTATCAATATTTACTTTTATCTGAAAGGAAGGGACTGTGCTAAATGTTGCTCGGACTAAAAGAATGTGTGGTAAGAAAGAGGCCAAAGGTCCAACCAGAAGCTCTAGGAGTCAAATGTCAGTCTGTCAACCCATATAGGCTCTGATAAGTTTTTGTGCTCTCATTTGTAAACTTAAGTATCCTTAAGGAGCGTGTAGTTTTAGTTGATTATATTTACAAATTTAGGATTTTCACTTAATGTCTTCTTACATTCCAAGATCATTCTTAATTTGTCTACATAACAGAGATAAACGTGAATGAATAGTTTGATGTTCTTTAACTAATTACATTCCATAAAGCCCCCTCCTTCATCTGAATTGCAGGAATTCTATGAGAACCTGTTGCAATTTTTTCCCTTGTTCTCTTGATATAACTCTTTTCCCTCAAGGCTGCTAATTAAAGTGTTCGTATCTTTTCATTAAAAAGTCTACCAAGTAAAACAAAGAATCAAACACTTTTCCTGTTTCTCAAAAGGAAATACACACACACACACACACACACATATAAATATATACATATATAAATAATTTTATAGTATCCAAAAAATGAATGTGTTGGTAGTAGAGTGAACAACTGTGCTTGTTTGCTCAGAACTGCAGAGTTTCCCACTATGTGGGTCTCTCTGTGATAAAAATGAGACAGTCCCCTACAAAACAAAACACTAGGTCACCTTAATGGTAGCTTGAGAGAAGGATTGGATGAGGCATTGGATACCAGCATCAGAAAGCTACAATTTTAGTTCTCCTATTTAAAGTATTCTTCTTTCACTGCTAAACAGCTGTGGAAAACAATCAAACACCAGATGGATGAATGAATTTAATGACCTTTGAGTTTCCTTTACACCAGTTTCTTACTAGAATCATCTGGTTAGCTTTTTAAAAATGACATTGCTCCCTCATTTAATTGGTCTGAAGGTAAGCCCCTGTCATGGACAGGTATGTTTGAAATCTCCAGCTGATTCTCATGTAAGTCAGGGCTAACACACTTTATATACATTCCAATATTCAAACGGTAGCTCCAGCAAGAGCTGTTCATAGCAAGGAAAAATCCACTTTATGATCTCTGATTTTTTAAATATTACATGCAAGCTTCTTCTTCACATTTAAAACAAATGAGAACCCACAAACTAAATTGATTTATTCATCTACATTTATGTATTCACCTAGGGTTCATGACATGTAAGTTTCTCCCTTATATACATATAAGTTTGCATTCCAACCATCAATTACCACCATCTATTGACATCATTTTTTTTTTTTCAGGAAACTGTATTTAGTCACTGTGAGGCCATAAAGATTTAAAATGCAAGATTTCTGCTTTCAGGCAGCCTATCAGCCTTTCAGGCAGATTATATGAAAGGTGGTAAAATGATCAAGGCAAATGATCCCAAGACAAGCCCAAAGAGGGGGTGGTCATGGCCTGAGATGGTTAGGAAATCTTCACAAAGCACACATGCTTTTAAGAGGGCCTTGAGGACTGGGCAGAATTTCAATTAGAAGACCAGAGAAAGCATCCCAAAGAGAAAGAAAAGCAGTTTCTGGGGTTGCTGGGGTAAGAAGCAATGAGATTACCAAAGTTACATAAAATACAAATAATAAAGTTCACATTCTGAACAGTGCAAACTATATCTAAAGATGCACATAACTT